CGAAGGAAGCAGGGACCCGCCACCGCCCCGCCGCTGTCGTCATCACAGGGCGACACGCACCGGAGAAAGACCCCGCGGGCCCGAGCCCCCCACGCCGAGGCTCGCACTAGTGCTGGGAGCTGCAAATGTAGCAAGTGGGCCGCTAACAAGCGCAGGTGGCTGGCGAGGTCGCGTTCTTGTGACGTCACGGGGCCGCGTTTTCCCCGACGGGGTTCCCTCTCTGGTCGGCGTCAGCATCTCCCTCTCCCAGGAGCGGCGGAGCTGCGCACGCGCGGTGCCCACAGCGACCGGGGAGCTGGAACTGCCTCAGCCCCGCGGCGGCGGCGCGAATGTCTGTTGGAAGCACGTGTGGGGGTGGGGGTCTCATCATCCCCTTCCCCCACCAAAAAAGCTGGGGCGGCTGTTGCCTGGTGTAGGGTAATTACCGTATTTGTACAATAATTTCAGGCGTTGTAGGATGTGGGATCAATAATAGTAAAAGTTTTCAAAAGGTACCATAGGTTGTTGGTTGTAGCTGCCTTGGTCTGAGGACACGGGTAGGTCTGGTCTGGTTCTTGGAGTAAACGTGATATCTTTTATTAGACTAATTGGAAAAAAGTTCTTGGCAAGCTTTGGAGCACAGTCACCCTTCTTCAGGCATGGGGAGGCTCTGCTGTTCTTGTACTCCAAGAAATGAAAGAAGCTAAAAGTGTGGCAGGATGTCCGTGAAAATGTAAACAGGTACAATTAAAAACAAAAGGTGAAGCAGAGGGGGGAGGGGGAAGAGAGCAGGGGGAAAAAAAGGCTGAAGGGAGGCACTGCAGTGATAGAGTACAAGGTAGAAAAGAGGCTGTTAGGCTCTGGGAAAATTAAGATGGTAAGCAGTTCATACAGGTTTGTTTGAGCCTGAAAGCTTGCAGAAAAAGAGATTTTTTTAATGTGATTTCCTAGTTGGTTTAATAAAAGGTGTCATTTCTGAACCAAGAGTTCTACACTTTTGCATTTCTTTTTGTCTTAGACCAACACGGGTACCAAATACATCCTTCAAAATGTAGGTATATTTTTACTTTTCAGATGCACGTGCGCACACACACACACGTGCAGTAAATATAGAGGGAATAGAACATTTTGATAAATATGAGGTGTGTTTTTGTTGTTAAAGTTCTTTAAGAAGCCCTTGAAAAAATGCCTGCTTTTGAAAGGAATGGCTAACATGATATTTAAAGTCTCAGAGAGTTCACCACAATCCTGAAAAAATTCAGACATGTGGGTACTGTAGCAGCTTTACAAATGTGGATTGGGATGAATTTAAATATACCAGGTTGTTGGCAAACCAGTCTTGCCAAATTATGGCCTAATGTAGTAAGGCATTGAATGCTTTGGACTCCTATTGAAATCAATGAGAGTTAATTTGAGTCACTCTTGACATTGTGAAATTGAAACCTGGTTAATTATGATTTCAAAATGTTAAAAAATTAAAACATAACCTGTTAAATGTTTTAATTTTAATATAAGTGTTTTCAAAAGTAGCATTTCCTTTGTTGAAATGTACTCTGATAAATGAGCAAGATAATCTTGGATAGAAATCTTGCAAAGAATGAATTTTCTTTTAAGTTTCTTAAGTCTGATATCAGCTGCGCTAAACAAGTATAGTTCTACTGATTTAAGCAGGGTGGTGTTAATTTACCTCATCTTTGGATCTGGGCCCACAATCATAGCTTTAAAAGTAATATGGTGAATGGCAATTCTATCCCAACATTCCCAGTATTGTGCTTTTTGGGTTTTATTTTCCCAAGGTCCTTGTCTCATTTTTATCTTTTTGATCAAAAAATGCAAAGGAACTTTGCCAAAATGTCTTTGCAAGTCAAAGGTTTTCCCATGGCAGAGAAATTTGAACTGTGAAATAAAAGATTCAGGGATGTTGGCTGTTTGAAATTTAAGAATGACATCAAAGGACTGGATGCTGTAGCCTTACATATTACAAAGGTATTATCTAGCCAGCTACACTACATAACCTCCAAATTTTATATCCTTCTGTGTTATATCATTTGGTTCCACTGCTTAGTCAGTTCCATCCACACATCATCTCTCACATAGTTCCTGTAATCAATCATACATTGAAATTTTTTTTATCTGTGTCTCTTGAAACAGCCTCCTCATGTCCCTCCTGCTTCTACTGCCATGGTTATCAGTTTTGATGCACTAAACTGGGGGGGAGGGGGGAACAACCTGTGGCATGGGTAGGCTGTGGATGTCATGTAGGAGTTGGGGTGGAGGGGATGGCAGGGATGAACAGCCTGGTGGCAGATAGGCCCAGAAGCAAAACACAAAAAGCATTGGGCAGACAGCATGGGGAAGGAAGCAGAAGTGAGAGCAGCAAGTCAGGCAGGGAGCAGAGGCCTGGGAGCAGAAAGTGGTGTAGCAGATTGTGGAGGGAACAGGGATTAGAGTGGCATTTGGGGAAATTGTGGGGCTAATCTGCGGCATGCCTACCAAAAATGGTGGCCCCCACTGCACTGAACAGTGGTTGGTTTCACCAGGTGAGTGCTTTTTTGGGGTCTGTTTTCTGCTGTGCTGTGTCTTAGGACTCTCGCAATCAATATATACTTGAGACTTAGTCATAGGGATGCCATCTTAGTAAAGACCTTAAGCACACGATTAACTTGAAGTACTTGAGTAGCTATCCTTTTTGGCAAAGCATTTGAACAGGTGCATACATTCCCATAAAGTCCATTATATTGAAGTCATAGCAGGACTTAAAAGCACGTGCCTATGTATCTTGCTGTTCTTTTCATCCTGTGCCCCATATCTTTCCTCTTCCCAATTTTCCCTTTTCCCTGCCAGAACATTAGCAAGTCTCTGCCCCATCAGATGTCAACTAGGAACAGAAACTTTGCTTTGAGAAAGATTGAGGCCTCCAGCCTAATATTTTGAGTTATGAAAAGCAATCATTTAGCAGGCACTCCTCTATTTAATTTGTTGGTGTTAGCTCGCCATCACCATTATACTCACTGTATAAAAGAGGGGTGATTGAGCTGTTTTCTTTTTCTTTTTATTCTCCTAATGACCATGCTTTGTCTCCAGAAAACCATACTTTCCTGGTTCTTTGTTGGGCACTTTCCATTTTCTATACCTTTTTCTCCATCTTACGTTTAGTCTTTAGCTGGGTTTCTCTCATTTACTGCTCTCTGTCACAACCCAAAGGGTGTGATTTTTGTTTTTGTGTGCTTCGGCACTGCTAAATTGTTCCCGTTAAATTATAGCTTCTTTGCACGGTGGAGTTTTCTGCTGCAAAAGAGAACCCCCGGTGCAAGGGAGAATTTCCCGCCAATTTGAAGCTTTCTTTGCAGGGTGCATTTCTTTGTTGCAGCACAGAAATGCTCGTTGCAAAGAGTTCCCGCCATTTGTATGCTAATTCGAGTCCCATTATTGGCCAGTTCTAAATTATTCACACGTGGCGGCTAGTGATTGGCTTGCTAGCCGTATAAAAGGCTTGAGTGGTTTCCGCCCAAGTTGGAGGACTCCACGAACACCCGGAGGAGGAGACTTCACGCTGTGTGAAGATCTCTAAGCGCTGCGGATCCTTACGGACCCAACGCATTTCAAGCAGGCAACAGAGGTCTGATCAGCCTCTAGCCTCTCCCCGTCGTCGATCGCAGTCCAGACGTATCCCTCCCTGCGCGCAAAAGAACCGGACCCACGGAGCCTAGCAACCTTCGTGTGAGTCCTTGCCGGATGACTTCAGAGCTCTTCTACCCGGGTTCGAGTCCTGCAGGTTTATCTTCCCGTCACCAAAAACCCTTGCAACGTACCCTTGTGTTTTACATCTTCCCGTCGCCGAAAACCCCTTGCGACGTACCCTCGTGCCCTGCAGGTTCGAGTTTTGTTTTCTTTCCTGTCTGTAACTGCAACTCAAGCAAATTTTCCAGCCTACACCACTGCCATCTTGGTGTAAGTAAACAATCTTTTAAACTACCGCTAAGCGTTTGTGCCTAATTCCAGCTTGACAGCCTCCCCTCTCCGACCCGGCGTGCCCGGGCTGCTGGCCACAGCCCGTGTGCAGCACGGAAAAGGGCTCGGGTCGCTCCCGGCCTGCACACTCTCTAGCGTGCATGTCCCTTTGGAAACATAATTGTTGTTGTTAGCAATCCCTCCAATTGAGGATGAGCTTTACCATGGCTCACTGATGGGTCTTGAGATGACTTAAAGAGTCCAATCCTTGAGCCACAGATCCATTCACAGATGTTGCAGGTCTTTCTGCGGGGGAGAGCACTCTTCTTTTCCTTCCTCTGTTCTCTGCTTTGAGGGCAAAATACTTTACCCTGAAGAGAGCTGCCACTTGGTTGAGGTTGCGGCACCTTTGGAGTCGGTTAACAGCCTGCTTCTCCCAGTTCTTGATATTGACATCCATTTTCTTGAGGTATGTCTGTAATGTGTGCTTGTAGAGTTTGCTGTAGCCGCTGCAAGATATCAGGCTGCATCTAAACTGGGAGTAGAGCACTTGTTTTGGGAGTCAAGAGTCAGGCATCTGCACACAGTGTCCAGTCCAATTACATTGGTGCTGGAGGATCACTGACTCAGTGCTGGTAACACTGGCTTCAGCAAGGATGCTGGTGTTTGTGTGGTGATCTTCCCAATGATGTGGAGGATTTTCTGGTGTTGATGATACCTTTCCAGGCTCTTGAGATGGTGACAGTAGGTCACCCACATTTCACATCCATAGAGGAGAATGGGGATGTTGACTGCTTTGTAGACTTGGATCTTGGTGTCTTTTCAGAGATTGTGATGAATAAGACACGTGAAACAATTTCCCAAAGGAAGCACTTGTGAACTGGATCCTGTGCTGGATTTCCTCATCAATGTTCACTCTCTCAGCAAAATGGCTACCAAGGTAGGAAAAAGTCTTGACTAGCTCCAGGGTCTCTCCCTGGTTGGTAATTTGGGGAAAGGGGTCACATTCATGGCCTGGAGCAGGCTAATACAGCACTTCAGTCTTCTTGACACTGAGAGAGAGGCCCACAATGGTAGAATTCTCCAAAAAGATCCAGCACAGTCTGGAGGTTTTCCTCAGTGTTCACAAGGATAGCACAGTCATTGGCATAATGAAGGTCCAGGATGGTTGTTTTGAGTACTGTAGTCTTCGACCGAAAATGACCCAGGTTGAAGAGCCCTCCATCCATTTGGTATTCAGTGTCAATTCCAGAAGGAAAGGTAATAAGAACCAGGATGACTGTCAGATAAATGGGGAGCAGAGTTGGGGCAATGACGCATCCTTGCTTGACACTGGTTTGCATGACAAATGGATCTGTCTCCAATCTGCTACACAGAATGGTCACAGTTATCTGTTCATGGAGAAGTCTCAGGACTTTGTTGACTTTTCTGGACATCCAAATTTGGCCTTACTTTCTACAAGGCTTCACGTCTGATGGAGTCAAAGGTGTTAGTAAGGTCAGTGAAGGCTATATACAGGTCCACCTGTTGTGCCTGACACTTTTCTTGGACCTGGTGGGAAACAAAAATCATGTCAATTGCTCCATTGTATTGTCTGAAACCACACAGAGATTCCAGCAGGACTCTCTCAGAACGAGGTATAAGACCGAGGTATAATTTGAGGAGGATGTGGTTGAGGATTTTCCCTGCTGTGAAAAGGAAAGTGATATCTTGGCAGTTCCCATGCACAGACTTATTTCCTTTCTTGATGATAGTCACGATGTTGGCATTCATCAGGTCTCCATGAATCTCTTTGTTGTTCCAAATGTGAAGAATAAGTGTGTGGAGTCTCAGTACCAGTTCCTCACAGTCAGCTTTGTAGATTTCAGCAGGTATGCCATCTGGTCTACTAGCCTTGTTGCTATTGGCTTCCTTGGTGACGTGCTAGATTTCTTCTAGGATATGAGAGTTTGTAAAGGTTCCCCTTTCATACTGTTGGGGCATGGACTTGATAGCGGTATCTGCCACAATTGACTGATGGTTCAGGAGTGCCTCAAAGTGCTCTTTCCATCTAGCTTGGAAGCTTAGATTCATCATCTTTGAAGAGCATCAAGCCATCCTACAATCAAAGGAAGTAGGACTGTGGGAAATTGGGTCATAGATGGCTTTTGTTTTCTAGAAAAAGCTATGCATGTCATGTTTGTCAGCATAGAGTTGTATCTTTGGCTTTATCTTGCCACCACTGATTTTTGATTTCCTGGACCCTCCTCCTCTGTGCTTTGAGGAGCTGATATGTTTCCTTCTTCTGCTGAGATGAGGTGCTATCTTGCCAAGCAGAATAAGCCCTTCTCTTTTGGTTGAGAAGGCTTGGATCTAGACATTGCTCTCATCAAACTAATTTTGGTGTTGACAGGTGATATAGCCAATGGATTGGATTCAGCACAGGCCATATGGATGGTGTTTTTAAACCCCTTCCAGCTTTGGATGCAGGAATCACTGGGACAAGCAGTAGGATAATTTCAAAGGTATGCATAGAACTTGTTCCTGAATCTGATCCATTCAGGTTGATCTGACCGCAAGACAGAGAGCCCCCCAATACTAATCAGTCACATTTACAATAGTACATAAGCCACTCCTTCAATAGCCACTGTCCAGGGAGTCCAGAGCTAGGAAGTCAGGTGCAAAGTGCTTTAAATATGTAGGTTGCTGATCAGAAGTAAGCTAGCTGCTGTTTTATTCATGGCTTAAAAAGGCACAAGATGTTTTGCTTAGAGATATTAAAATTGTCTAGAGACAAATCTGGTAGAAACCATAAAGGAGATATCTTAATTTTTTCATAGGATGATGAAAAGTAGTCTATTGCGCATCCTGCTTAAACATTACAGAGCTTTATCAGAAGTGTGGGTCATTTTCTGATAAATAAATGTCAGCTTTGCTAAGAAGAAGGCCAGCAGGACAGGTATAAAATGCCCTGTTTTGTTCAACATACAGCTCTCTGAGGTCAAAACATCTGACTGTGAATGGGACTGTCACCTCCTAGCCAGCGAGAATGCCCCCTGCTTGTTAACAACTAAAGATTTGTTTTTGACAAGTCTCTCTCTCAAAGTTTTATCTAGGGAGACCGCTACAGAATTTGGAGAGAAAATAAGAATATAGCTGTCATGTTGCCTTTAGTTAATCACCTGGCAGAACTCTGTCTTGAGAAACCAGTTATTGCAAATGTGATGCTGAGCTGGAGAACTCGCTGCTATGTCAGCTCCAACCAATAAATTGAAAGATGAGTTTTATACCTGTGTTACCCAAGTGATGGCATGATTATATTAAGCTAAGTGCGTCCTACAAAGTAAGTATCCAAGGTAAAACTCTCGGAATGACTACAGTCTCTCAGGTATACTTGTGTTTCCCAAAGAAGTTTAGTTTTAGTTATGTACAAATTACACTGAATTGCTAACCTGAGACCAGAGCATTGTGGTTAGAGGAAAAAAAATCCATTAACTACGTCTCACACTGTTTAAATTACTGTGAAAAACTCCAAATGTTTCAGAGTTCAGCCTACAAACATTGCACAAATGCTATGGTCAAGAGCACTGACAAGAAGAAAAAGAATCTTTGAATTGATATGTGAGCTAAAAATGTCATCCCTCTTTTTAAAGCTTTGGTTGAAATAATTTAACAGTGTAGAGTCCTGGAAAATTTCTAGGGAAATTCGAATTACTTAAGAATAATTACATGCATATTTAGTTTTGGGTTTTGTGAATTATTGTCTTAATTACTTATAAATGGCAAAGATCGACAGACTAGCATCCTGCCAACGTGACTCTGAATTGAATTGTCAGTCTTTGATAATCAGTTAATTTCTCTAGTTTCCCAAGTTCTCTTGTACAAATTGTTGGGTTAAATTGAAATGAGCAGCCCCTAATTCCATTGACCAGTGAGCTTGATTCGAGACGGGATCCATAGTTCAATGCTGGTATGAAAATCACCTGTCACTTCTAATATTGAAGTAGGGAAGTTTGCCTTTATAATGAGATTCTGGTAAGATTCTGAAGGAACTGAACATAGTTATGTTTCTTGAAAGCTGTTACTTGTTGAATTCAATTTTGATACTGTAAACAGCTTAATTGTTATTTTGTCTTCTATAGTATTTCTGTGGTTTTAAGTACTCTTCTGGCTGATAAAGCATATGTTTGTATTAGTTTTCCAATGTATATATTCAATAAAGGATACTGAACGTAAGAACAGTGAGAAATTTAGCAGTGATGGCTCGTAAATTAAATTATGTAATTCATTATTTATTTCCAACAATTTTTACAAATCTTTCCCCTTTTTTGACTAGTTGAAATTATTATAGCATGCTTTTATTTGTCATTTCTGCCCCACATCCTCATTTGTTACATTCCAAATCAGCATAATACAGGACTGGGCCTTTACAAAGCTGATTTACTGACTAAAACAGTTGTGAAAGAGAACATTTATTAGAACAGAAAAATAATTCTTGAAGTCCAAGGTAACTGTTTAATGTATGTTACAAGTGAAGAAAAACTCGAGGACATGAAGAATGTATGAGAAATTCCATAGTTTTGCTTGTTCTAAAACCTTTCTGTAGATGTCACTCTGTCACTGTAGAACTGGTTTAATCATGTTTCTTAAGCCTAGAGGAATAGAGTAGTGTCAGACTTACAAGCTCCTCTGGGAGCCTCTTCAGTGGTTTTACAATTAATGAAGAAGCAAGACATATCGGTGAGCCAGATTTGCATTTCACTAACCCCGTTCCCTGCAGATTCTGTATCACATTAACTTGGGTCAAGTTCTTGCTTACTATATATTTAAAAATGTTCTATGGTTGTTCCTAGATAGTGGCTTTCAACCTTTTCAGACATAAGGCACCCTTCATTGGTCTCAAGGCACCCCCCAGAAAATAGCAATCTTAATTTTTACTTGTTTTTCCACTACATAAAAATAATAGAGCAATTCCTCTGTTGCAAAGAACTCAGTGCACAACAGGTCAGATGTTTTTTAACACTATGAATTCCTGTTTGAAATCTATGGGTTTATTTTGCTCACACCAAACAGTGATAATGTTGCATGGCACCCAGTGGCACCTTTGAAAGGATCTAAAGGTAACCCAAGGTGCTGCGGCACCCTGGTTGAGAATCTCTGCTCTAAATATAGGGTTGCTTAATCCTCTTCACTTTGAAGTTATGGCAAAATTGCCATTCATTTTCACAGCTGTAATGTTCTGTTCTAAGTAAGTTTTATATTTTCAGGTCAGGGGGGATTGGTCATTGGAATGGAATCTGCTAGCATGGGAAAAAATAATTTTGCTTCAAGTTTCTCATAAGAGCCTTTCAGTGCACAGGAATGTAATCTTTTGTTGGGCCAGTCTTATTTGAGACCATGAAAATAGAGATTTTAGTTGAAAATATCAGGTGTTTTCAGTTTACAAGGGTTGTAACAATTGCAGCCCATACTAGAAGAAGATCCAATTCTTAAAGAGATCTTTCCAGAACCACTCATCCTAGCCTTTAAACAAGCACCGAACCTCACCAACCTTATCACCGGAAGCAAACTTCCTATGGCCCAAAATGCACCAAATGGATCCAGACCATGCCGGAACAAAAAATGTAAAACCTGCCAACATACCTCCACCACTCCCACAATTACTACACCCCACAACAGAGCCATCAACATTCCTGGAACTTACACCTGCCCCTTCAGAAATGTAATACATCTCATCCGGTGTACTAACTGCCCTGATGGAAAATACATAGGAGAGACAACTGCGCACCAGAATGAATTCACACCAAAAATCTATCAAAGACAAGAATACCCAGTTACCTGTGGGTGCACAGTTCTCACAAGAAAACCACTCTCTGTCCAGTCTCTCAGTTCTAATCCTCAAAAAGAATTTACAAAACACCTTCCGTAGATGAGCTTATGAACTTCACTTCATAAATCTACTGGATACAAAAAATCATGGACTAAGTATAGATACTAGATTTATGGCACATTATAATCTGCCTGTCACTCTGATAATAACCCAATGTAACCTGCCTGCATTTTATATCAGCTACATTATGTCACCAGTTCAACATTTCCACCCCCCCCATGTCTCATACCTATGGTCTCCCATGGCCTGTGATCTTCACTGCCACGCATTTGCATTTTCATGGACCTGCATTTTGCATATTGACTTCTGTTTCACACAGGAGAGCACACAAAACTCAAGCAGGCTCTTGCTATGCTTGAAGAAGAGTGTTTGGCCCAAAAGTTTGCAAAAAAACAATTTTTCCAACTATTTAGTTGGTCTAATAAAAGATATCACATCTACTTAAAGAACCTTGTCTACCTTCAGTTTACAATGCATACAGAAGAGAGCTGTTTTTGTTTTTATTTGTTTTTCCCCTTTCTCTTTTTGGTTTCTTTTGGTTATGTTGTGTCAAGGTGTACCTTGGTTGTTTTTAAACATAGGCAAACATAAAGCTGCCTTTTTTTGCATACAATACTTGCATGTGTATGACGGCACTGAGCACATACATGTATATTTTGAGTAAAGCCTGGCTGTAGATTGTGGAAATTGATGTATAGGGTAGATTCATAGATGTTAGGGTCGGAAGGGACCTCAGTAGGTCATCGAGTCTGACACCCTCCCCTGGGCAGGAAAGAGCGCTGGGGTCAGACGACCTCAGCTAGGTGCTTGTCCAGTCTCCTTTTAAAGACTCCCAAGGTAGGAGAGAGCACCACCTCCCGTGGAAGCCCATTTCAAATTCTGGCAGCCCTTACTGTGAAGAAGTTCTTTCTAATGTCCAACCTAAATCTGCTCTTCATCAATTTGTACCCATTGTTCCTCCTTACTCCAGGGGGTGCCCTAGTAAATAGAGCATCTCCTATTCCCTGCTGCCCTCCCCGATGAATTTATAGGCAGCCACAAGATCCCCTCCAGCCTTCTCTTGTGAAGGCTGAAGAGATCTAGGTCCCTAAGTCTCTCCTCGTAGGGCCTTGCCTACTGGCCTCTGACCATATGAGGGGCCCTCCTCTGAACCCTCTCAAGATTCTCCACATCCCTCTTGAAGTGCGGCACCCAAACTGGACTCAGTACTCCAGCTGCGGCCTGACCAATGCCACATAGATGGGAAGCATCCCATCACTGAACCTGTTTGTCATGCATCTGCTAATGCATGATAAAGTGTGGTTAGCCTTGTTGATCACGTCTTCACATTGATGACTCATGTTCATTTATGAACTCATGTTCAGCTATGACTCCAAGATCCCTTTCTGCTGCTGTGCTGCTGAGAAGCTCATCCCCCCAGCCTATAAGTGTGTTGGTGCTGCTTTTTTGCCCAGGCGCAGCACTTCGCACTTGTCTTTGTTGAACTGCATCCTATTTTGTTCTGTTCATTTTTCCAACCTGTCCAAATCAGCCTGGATCCGTTCCCTACCCTCTGGTGCGTTAACTTTGTTCATAGATGTAGGATATGTGTGTATTAGCTGTGTGTCGTATGCAAAGAAGGTGCAAAGAAGATTTGCAAGTGTGCACACTTGTGCATGATATGTACAGAACGTGACTGTCAGCAACTTAGTAAACTCTCTGGTTTCAGAAGCAGGCCGAAGTTCTATGGTAGGGATTATCAAAACTCAGTCCTTGGGCCAGATCTGGCCCCTGACGCTCTGTCAGTTGGCCTCCTTGGCTCCCCACAAATATTGCCAAATATTTGTCAGTTGTGGAGCAGTAACACCGATCTTCTGCTTCCAAACTTGTGGACCTATGGGAAGTCCAGGGCTGAAGAGCATGGCTCTGGACTGGATTGGGTCCTGTGCAGGGCCTGATCCTGGTGTGTGAGGTGGTGTGGGGGCACCAGGGCAATTCTGGTGGGTGTGGGATGTGGGGCCTTGGGACCTGCTTCTGGTGTACAGTGCCAGTGCAGGACCAGAAGACTGAACACCATGGCCATCTCCAGATGAGTGTGGTCATGTGGTATGTGGTGCCGCAGACATGTTTGCAACGTCACATTCCACACTTTCAGCTCTTCTCCACACTGCAAGGGAGGAGGGCAGGGTTTGGGGGGTTTTTTGACTTGGATATCCAGGGGTCAAAAATCCTGCACAAAAAGAAAAGTGGAGTGGCACATGCTGGGGCAGTGTGTGCAGCTCAAAACCAGAGCCTTGCTGGCTAGAGCCACACTCCAGCTGCTGGCCAGGTTCCAAGTGGCAGGATTGCTGTCGCTGCAGCCCCAAGGGACCTCCAGGACTTCAGGTAAGGTTGCTGGGCCCAGCCCAGTGCTGGCTCCAGCCTTCTCTATCACACCCAGGGTAACTTGCTGTATGCCAGAGAGCATGTGCCACAGGTGTTCCCTGGGAATAACTAGAAGTGCTGCTAATTGTCCCTGGGGAACCAAATGTCCATGCTGGTGTGGATACGGCCCATGGTTCTATGACATCTGATCTCTTAATTAGCCAAAGCATTTACCTAAACTGATTACCAGTTTGTTTAGGCTAGAATGTACTGTACTTGTAGCAAGACAGAGGCTTAAGAAAGGAAAAACATGCTAAAAATCGTTGGGTCAAGTATCCAGGTTGTAGCTGTATTGATCTAGAGGATAAAGCAATCAAGACTTGTGGCAGAAGTGATATCTTTTATTAGACCAACTAGATTTTTGCAAAAAAAATACTTTAATTGCAAGCTTTTGGGTACAAACAGCCTTCATCAGGCATTGGAGAAAAGATTGTAAAAGTTCTGGGTAGAAATGAAAGTTCATATGTCATAGGAGAGTTGAAGGTTTGGAAAAGTTCATTTTCTATGCTTTTTGGGTTTGTTTGTTTTTTTTAAAGAATTTTTTTGTGTTCCAAGCCAAATCAGCCTAATCAAGTCCTAATCCAGGAGTCAGTCCAGAACCATAAGTGGCCCTACAACCGGCAAACTTTCTCCACCTCCACCAGGCACTTCAGATATATCCAAAGTCTTTTGGTAGGCATCCTATGTGCAGGCCTAAGCCTGGAGGCTTGGGGTTCAGATGTCCCCAAGTTTTGCCTGCCCTCAGCCA